AGCTATATTTATATAAATTATTGTTACTCAATTTTTCAAATATTAAAGCTATTTTTGATTGATATTAAGGTTACAAAAAGTACTTCACTTTTTGATTACACATTGCTCACTTGCTTTAATGTTACATAAATTTCTCAATTAATATCAATCAAATTTGATTATATAGATCAATTAATAAATCTAAGAACTAATAATATTTAATATATAATTGTTCAATAAAATAATAACTATTTAAAAATAACTATCCAATAAAATATAAATATAAAATCATTCAATTAAATTTATGATATGAATTAACCAATAAATAAGAACTAAATATTCATATCATAACAATATATATTTATGATATAAATAACAAAAATTCATAATGCAAATAATAATTCTTTAATTAATATATATTATAAAAATTATTTAATAATAATAATAATTATAAAGAGAATATAATTATATATAAGTTTTTTATTAATTAAAAATTTATAAAAGCAAAATTAAAGATATGACTATAAATAAATATGATTATAAAGATATTTAATTATATATAATTATATATTTATTTTTAAAATAAAATTATACAAAAAATATTTTTAATTAAAATATTAAAAGAGATTTTATAAGTAAAGTTTCAAGTTATAAATAATTTTTTGAAAATTTATTGTTTTATTTTTATTAAAAATTTGTATTTATATAGTAACAATAAAAAATAATATAATAATAGCAAAATTTATTAATTAAATATAGTAAATATGAGTTTTTTTTATATAAAAGTTTTTAATTTTACTAATAAATATTTTTTATTTTTATATTAAAATAAAAATAATATTACATATTTTAATATTATTTTTTTATATATTTTAATTATTAAAAAATAATTAATTTTATATGTAATAAGAATAGCTTTATCAGATTAAATCTAAAAAATTTGAAAAAAAATATATATTAAAATATGTAATATTATTTTATTTTAATATAAAAATAAAAAATATTTATTAGTAAAATTGAAAACTTTTATATAAAGAGAAAAATTCATATTTTATTATATTTAATTAATAAATTTTGTCATTATTATATTATTTTTAATTATCATTATAATCTTGTAATTTTATTAATTTATAAAATTAATATAATTTATTAATTATTAAAAATTGTTTAATAATTCAAAACTTTATTAAGTAAATTATCTTTTATAATCTAATTAAATATATTTTTTGCATAAATTTATATTAATCAATAAATTATTTTTAATTTTTAAGTTATTTATTAGAATATTATATTTATATTTATTCTTTATAAAATATATAAACTTTTTAATTAAAAAACAAATACAAAATTTAATTATTTAAAATATAAAATTATAATTATTCAATAAAAATATATATATATAATCAAATTTCTCTATAATTACATTTATTTATAGTTATAATTATCTTAATTTACTTTTTTATTTATATACAAACATAGTAAAAAACTTTTCTATAATCACATTTTCTTTATAATTACAAAATTTTACTTTTTTGAAAGTAATAATTATAAAAAAATTTTAAAAAAAAAGCTGAAAATTTTGTAATTTAATTAGAAATTTTCCAGATAAATTTCTGGAATTTAATTAAAAAATAAAAAATAACAGTTTCAAATATTTTCAGAAAAAGAAATTATTTTTTATTTTCCTGAAAATATTTAATAAAAGATCAGGGTACTTTCAGAAAAAAACAGATTTTTTGTTTTTTTCCTGATTTTTTCTAATTAATATTTTCAGAGAAACTTTTCTTATAGAATGAATTGAAATAAAAAAATTATAACCTATACTGAATCACCATCTTTATTTTTAATGATTTAGAGAATTTTTATCATAGATCAAATATTTAATTTCTGTGAGTGACTATTTCTAGCTATTCAAGTTATTAGTACCAAACGAAAATTTTAATGATTTGGATATTATAGTCACGTTGCTCCGTTAAACCGGACAAATATTCCGGAACTGAAAACCGAACTGTTTCAAGTTGTTCTCTTTTGTGGTTCTTTTATCCATAACGAAGGAAACGGGAACAACTCGCGCACGCTCTGATAGAAGACAAGAACCATAGGAGAAAATGACTGCTATTGACGAGTCGTCAGATTTACGGCTTCAGTTACAGGTTTGTTTTCAGAGTAAAACATCTCTTACTTAACTACCTACTCAACTTCCTTTATGAAGCTCTTGTTCTTTCTCCTTGTGAACGTTAACATATATATATATAATGTTCCAACTTTATTTTTTCTGAAGGATTTATTTTCTCAAATCCAATGTTTAATCTAATCTTTTTAATTTGATTCTTTAAAGGCCGATAAAACCAGCTGGTTAGTTGAAAACACGACCGCACTCTACAATGTTTCGGATCTTGCTTCTAGTGCGATGGCCGCTGCCCGTCATAATCACGTTCTCACTCAACAAGAAAGTTCTAACAATGTTCTTGAAAGAAATGGCGGGATCAGTATTAGTGGAAGTTCCACCCACCAAACTAATAATAACAATAACAACAATAGCAATGGCAATGGCAGAGAGACAGGCCTTGAAACGTTATCCGTGATATCAGAAGCGAATGGTACGGAAATGGAGGAGGATATAATGTGGAGTTCGAGCGAGACGACAAGTTTATTGAGTTACATAGATCAAAATTATAGCGCTTGGCATTCGGGAAACAAAACGAAATTTTACAAGCAACTAATCAGTGAAGTTTTAAAGAATAGAAATCCGACGCAGGTTAAAAACAAGGTACATAAACTTCTCGCGAAATATCACAAAATTCGCGCACAAAAAGCTTCTGGTGGGGCTGCGCCGAACTGGACCTGGTATGCACGGATGGATCAGGTGTTTGGTCAACATGGACATACTCCCTCGAATAATCTATTAATAATGGGTGATCCCAAGCCCACTAACAATAACAACAACAATCATAACGGCGTAGAATCTTCGGATGATTCTGAAGAAAATAAGCGTCCGACAAAAAGGAGGAAGCGTCTAGTAACTCAATCATCACAAATAGTAACACAATCATCACAATCACAGCCACCACAATCACTACCACTAACAACACACACTACCTCCAATATTACCATCGCTCCTGCTGTCAATCCACCAGTCATCAGCAACCTTGATGATTTTAATACCAACGCATCTACAGCGTCTAGTTGTAGTAATTCCGCATCTCGAATCATACAACCATCGATTATTAGACATGTAAACACCGGTTCATCAGATTGGCTCGAGACATATCTAAAAGAGAAACTTGCAGCTGAGCTACGCGAATTGGAAATTCAAAATAACCTAAAAAAGGATAAAATGCAATACGACTTCCAGATAGAAAAAGAACGGATGAAACATGAATTTGAAATACAAAATAAAAGAGTCGAGGTTGAAAAGATAAACGCAGAAAATGCACAAAAGAAGTTGAATATGGATCTCGAGCATTTTCGTATATTAAAGATGCAACTTGAGTTACAAGTGAAAGAAGCTGAACTGAAATTGCACCAACAACAGCTTTAACTGCAAAATAATAATGTTTAATGTTTTTTTATTTAATTTTTTGGTTAATCATTTCTTTTTGATCAAACTTGTTACAAAATATATATGCTTATCTGTTTATAAATTACAATCAATCTATAAGAAAAGAAATATGTAATAATCTATTTTTTTTTTCTAAATCAGGTTGCGGTTTCTACAATAAAAATCAAGTATTTAATGTGTTATTCAACTCACACAATCTATGCGTTTTTTATGCAAAGTAGTAATTAATACACGACTTTACAAATCAGAGGGATATGTGTACGGGTGGGGTGGGTATAAACATACATGTATATAATATGGTTTAGGGTGTACCTTTTTTTACCGAGTATGCAAGAGATTCTATGAAAATAGTCATTAATCCGACAATAATCTCCACAACTATTTAATAAAAATAATAATTGTAAATATTTGATTTCCTAACAACAAGAGTTATCCTTTTAACTTACCAATTAAAACGATAATGATCCATTCTAATTGTTCACCTAGTTAATCATATATAATATTAAAAACAACAGTTTAAATTTAAACGACCGAGTCAGAATAAATAAATATACATACTATGGGTGCTAGTCAAGTGATCTTTCAACATATCCAAAAGATCACCTACAAAATAAAACTTTAATAAATGTGCATATAATAAGGAATCTAGAAAGTAAAGATGTCTCTTACTTATCACACCGACACGCTGGTTTAGGAGCTCTACACGATGCGAAATCTCCAAATAACCTATATTGTATAAAATAATTGTATCAAATAACTAATAATTGTATATAAATTGGAAACTTGATGCATTCGTTAGTCACCTCTTATAGCCTTATACAGTTCTTCATATGCTGGCTCGGACCAGAAAATTTCTGGTGTATCTAAGATGTTACTCACCAAATTGATATTGATCCTCATAATAAATAACTATTGAATAGAAGAAAAAAACGGTGACCTTAGAAGCGTAAAAGGTGATGCCAACTTAATGAAATAGTAACTAAGAATAATTAATTACCTGGCCAATTTTTTTGGTTATGGCAGTTCTAAATAAAAGATCCGATATGTAAAAAAAAAAAAGGTAACCAGTTTTGATCAAGAACGATATATAAATGTGCTGACCTTGACATTTGAACACTACCAGTCTCGGCCATAGTCTTTGGTATATGTTTTGTAGACTCGATTGTATCTTCAATCAACTCTTCAAAAAAGGTCATTTTTACGGATTGAGCGACCGCATGAGAAATTGTAAGTTTTACCATATAGTTTCCGGGATTCTTCAATGTTATTATATCATTATAGATCCTGAGAAGATCAAGGATACATTGAGAATACGTGAAAATAAAAGTGGTCGTACATATCAATAACAATTTACCTGGGCTGATAAGAAGCAGCATAGTGATAATGAAACTCTTCAGTTACAATATCATTGATAGCTATTAGATGTTGAATTAAGAGATCTCTGTTAGGATAAAAAACAGCAAAATTATAAACATTAACATAATACATTTACCAAGTCGATTTTCTTCGAATGGCATCAATTCACGCAATAGTTGTTGTTCTTCTTGTTCAGTCATACCCCATATCACAACTACACCATACTCAAAGATACACACTTCAGGTATAGTTTGTTCAAATGGTGATGGCCTCTCGGAGCCTTCAATTCCTAAAAGATTTGCTGTAGGTGGAGATTGTGGTGGCTGCAAAGAAAAAGGACTATATATGCTAAAAAAAAATAGTAATTTAATTGAAGGAGTTCAAAAGTAGGTTATTTTTTTAATTTTCTATCAACTGTACCATTCATCCATGCGTTTTGGTGCAGTGCTATTTTGAATTCGACGCGACTGAAAACATTTCATCAAATCATCTAATTGATAAGCTCTACGAAAAATCACACGTGGTAAGCAATTATAGAACAAGTTTAAAGCTAAAACAATATAAAAAACTACTACATAGAGCAGCTTACGAAGCAGTGCAATAAGCCGTAACACGCGGAAGTTTATCTCGTTCTTCACGCGAGAATTTTTCAGCTTCAATTCGCGCAGTTCCCTCAGGAATCTTATCTATTTGATCATAAGTTTCACCTATTTCGTCGACTTGTGGTACATATTCCTCGGGGAAAAGAGTGAGTTTCTGTGAGATCTTTGTAGTTCTATTAGGTAATTTAGCTTTAACACGAGATGGCGTGTTGGTTTGGGCATCTGTTTGAGGATTTATTGCAAAGGGCCTCGATTTCACACTATCTGAAATAGGGGACGAGGTGCTTGGTTGTCTCTTGTGCATTTTAGATCTCGAGATATTGCTGTCGTTTTAGAAAAATAATAAACTTTTGGTGGATCATGTAGATCATGTAAATTTCGCTAGCCTGATATATGAAATACTTGAAGACTAAAAGAATTTCAGTTAAAAGTAAAGTGTGATGACAAAATTTTATGCAAAATTACGACAGTTATTTAAAATACAAATTCTTTTCGTTTTATTTATCCAGTGATCAATACTTCGTTAGTAGTTAAACCAACACCACAACCAACCAAATATAATTGTGCTGTTAAATTCATACAATAACCATTAAAGAAGAAACTTGACCTTTTACAATGAACAGATTTTCATATTGTAGAACACCAAGTTGGATTCATAACATAATCTGTTAGATCGCATCGCGTGTGACCATCTACAAATTAACAAGATATTTTTTTCCATAAGAAAGGACAAATCTTCACATGATTTACAAGTACAAAAGTTTTTGCCAGACAATACTGTTAATTATTATTTTTGATCACTATCAATCTCTCATCACACTATGCACGGACATGAAACACAGACAGATATGTATTGCTCATAATAATCGAATCAAAAATCAGAATCGTAAACAGTCACATACATATACATAGAAAGAGAATATCTTTTATCCAAGGTGAGTAATGAAAAGATTCATGATGGAAGAGGAAAGAAGAAGAGCGGGATGATATAATGTGCATAAACGCGAGACAAAATCGCTATATTTTCTTTTATAGCATATATTAAGGTTTTTCTCACGATGGTTAATAGAAACAACACCGAAAACCTACAATTGTTTTCTCATATGACCCGATTCCTTTTTCAAGACTAGCTTTATAGTGATGCCTTTAATGGAAGGGCGTAACTTTGTTTGCACTGATATGTTTATCAGTATGATGTTTTTTTGACAGCAGCGATGGCGGTTATGTACAACGTATACAAAAATTTGTGTGTGGTCAAAGCTTTTTCTATAGTTAGGACGTCCACGTTTATTTTATCATTGTTAATTTCTTTTTTAACAATAATACAGATTTCCATGATAAAGCACAAGTAGATAGCATTGTTATCATTTCAGTCAAATACAACATGGCAATTTCTTAATTATTTTGCATTTACAATTTATTAGTTTTATCCGATACAAGTTTTTTTCTATCATTGTCAATTTAAATTTTAATATTGTTGTTATTACGAGAGACTGTAAACACTCTTTCGCGATATGCCAAAATATTAAAAAAAATCGATACAGGCTATCATAGAAATCCAAGAAACTAATCAGCTTGTTTCTTGAGTAATTATTTCTGCCAAAAAAAATACACACTGCAATTCATTTATCTCGTAATGTCGGTCTGTATATAGAGCTTATGTGTTTTTTCTTGGTAGAAAAGTAAACTCTTGCATTAAATATGCAAAACTATTAAATTTATCATTCGTGATTTTAACGATTGGTTTATCCAGAAATTTCAGCTTTATTTTTTCTACTTGGTATCTTTGCCTAAGATTCGTTGTTTTGAAGACTTTATGCTTAAAGGTTAATCAGACGCATTCATGCATACATGTGCAGTTTCGTGTGCTGATAACAAATCAAAAACAACATTGTGTCCGAAGATTATTACAATTAAAAATTGTCACTATCTCCATATCTCGCGTTTGTTGATATGAGATCGTTCGGTCGTTTCAAGAGAGCGAGGAAAAGAGCGAGGAAGAAAGAATGGGCAAGGAAAGGAAAGTGTATGCGGTGTGATGTATACTTCGCGGCTGAGAACGGTTTTTAATCATCTATTCCATTCATATACATAACCCCACATTAATCAAAGCAAAATTACATCGTTAGCAAGGTAAAATTATAGCATTTTATTACTTATTTACTCGACTTGGTTAGATTGGTCTTTTATTAATCTATTTTTTTATCTTTATTGCCTGCCCCTTTGTCAAACATTGATTGCTTTTTCCCATCACACACATACACGAAACACATAGAACACATACACACACATACACACTAACACATATTGATAAATTTCCTAGAACAGCAGATACATGGGCGTATTACATCCGAGCATTACATCTAGTTTATCTTGTTTCTTTACAACTCTTTCCTATATAAAGACCAATTTTTCCCTTGTGAAAATAATCAGACCAATCTATTATTTTATTTTTTGACTTAAGATATTCTCATCAATAACACTATCATCTAAATAGTATTAACAAAATACATACAAAATGGCATCAGACGGAAATCTTGTAGTTGATAAAGAGAATAATAGTGACAATATATTACATACTACACAAACTACACAAACCACACAAACGACACAAACGACACAAACCGAAACACTATCAGTTTCATCATCATCCTCATCCTCAATATCCTCATCTAACGATAATAAAAATATTAATAGCAACAACAACAACAACAACAACGACGATAACAACAAAGAAGACCAAATAGAAAAACTCCGTCCTAAAAAACGAAGTTTTCGTCTTCCAGCCGTATTTTCATCGAAAGAAGACAAAGAACTTTCAACAAATACTCCACCTCATTCCCCAAAACAGTCCAAAGACCGGCGTCGTTTTGCTGATATGTTTAATAAAGAGAAAAAAGTTACGGCAAATAGTAATACTCGTCGTATAACAACGCGTAGTGAAGTAGCTGAAGAGAAACGGAAGAAAAATCGTCGTAGTTTTAATCTTTCGGAAATGTTCAGCTTTTCCGATTCAGAAGATTATGCACATAAAAATGATGATGAATATGACGACGATGATGATATTAAAGGACAACGACGACGTCGTGTACGTAGTAATAGTAATAATAAAGAAAAGAATAAAAAACGTAGAAATTTATTTTCTGACTTGTTTGGATTCTCTGATGATGAGAGTAATCCAAGAACAAAACTACGAAAAAGACGTTCTCTCAATTTAAGTGAATATGATGATAAAGATGAGGCGAAACTTAAACAAAAAAATCGTCTTAGTTTAAATATTACTGATTTGCTTTACAATCAAACGCCATCAGCATTTCCTTCTTCACCTAAAACTAAACGATCAATTAGTCAACCACAATTACTTAATATACACATTGTTGCAAAAGAAGAAATTGTTAATCCACAAACTCCATTAACTCCGATTGATTATTATGGTCAAGAATCCTACCAAAATCCCAATAATCAGTTTGAAGAGGAGTACCACGCGAATGATGGACAAACAAAACAGCGTCGTATCTCCAATGGTACGACTGGCTCGACTGCGTCGTCTACTTCATCCACTGCCACCGCTTCAATTGTTGAAACACCATCGACTCCTGAATCTCCAATCTCTAATGAATCTAACGAGCAAAAAAATTTGACTGAAAATATCGACGTGTTAGAAGATGAAAGAAAGTCGCCTCGTTGGCACAAGGATTGGAAACAAGGCGTGGGAATATTGGATGTAATCGAAGATACTGAACCTATTTCCGAGGAAGCTAATAATGGAGAGCAACAAGACAAAAGCGAAGCTAATGCTGGTGAATCAAAATTCACTGAAAATTCTAGTGCAAACGATGATATTGTCGAAGATGTTGATATAGAGAAGGTAAATTGAATACTATTAATCTTAATTATTTACTTATCAATATCACTGTTAAGATTTCTAATAGTCGAATTATTTTTAAAATAGTCTCAAGAATTTGAAACGAATAACAACTCTTTGTCGAATACCACAACACAACAACTCGAAACTAAACTCCCTCGACAATCAGAACAAACAAGTCTCTCTACCATGGAAACGGTAATAATTCGACAATTGGAATTGTCCGAAAGAATGGAAAAGACAATGAATCGTCTTGAATCAAAAGTTAATGAACAACGGGAGGAAATGAATGGCATGAATACAATCCGTATGCAAGAAACTATTCAACGTCTTGAAACGAAGGTAGATGCTCAACGAAATGAATTGGATGAATTACGACAGTTTATTGGAGATTTGTGAGTATTTAATTTATTTCATTATTATATCACACACACACATACTAAACATTTATTTTCTTTAATTATAGGCGTAAAAATCAAAAATTACTTTTATCCAAAGAAGCATTTATTCATTATCAGCAACTTCCGCCAAATACAATTGAATTCACAACCTCAGAAACTGGTAAAGATGACGCTGCCGCGTTGACGTTAACAACAGACCAAGAGACAGCCACATCTTTTACACTGGTAAAAACGTTAGTCGTCAATCCATTGTATAAAACAGTCGGAATTGCAAGCAGCGTATTCCATACATTATACATTCAACCGGTTGTTGTATTTGCTCGAATTGTTAAACAAACTGTTATTTAATTCTCCCTTCTCCCTTCACTCTTTTCTTGGTTTTTAGCTTGTTCATTTATTATTCGTTTGTTTTGTTTTTCTATTAAAAACTTTGTTTTTCCTGTACATAATATTGTTTTGATTTTTCTTTTAAATAAAAAATGGATAGCTCAGATGTTAGTATATATCATTGTGATAATTTATTAAATTTGGTATCGTCTCTTAACGTCACCTCAGATTTATTTATGATTGCTCGGGGGTATTAATAACAATAAATAAAATGTCTTCAGTTATTTTATTGCATTTCTAAAAATTTCATTTTATTCGAATTCTTTGACATAATACAGGTCAACGCCGTTAAAGTTAGTTCTCAATTTTCTATTAATTGTTGACGGCTCCAAATTCTTTTGAATAATTTGCTGTGTGATTCAGGTCTTGTAATTTTCAATCTATAATATGAGGGATTTTAACATATCCAACTTGATTTATATGAATTATAATTTCATATGTTGTACATTTATAATATTTTGAGCATGTTGAGTAACTGAAATCGTCGAATTATACATAAGTTCGCTATGAGCTGTTTAAAACTATGAGGCGAAAAACGGCTGAAAAAAGAAAAGCTCAAATATACATCGTGTCAAACCTGATTAGAAATTTACTCATGAATCTTGAAAATATATGAAATCGCAAGCTTTTTTATTCATTTGCAGTTTATTATGTGTAATTTTAAAAACTTGACATATGGCTTGACTTCAATCGATTATTTTAAGGTTTGTTATTCTGGTATATCCAAACACAATTTTCTTCTAGAGTTCTGCCACTCAGGTATTATTCAAACCAGTCGCCAGCAACCGAAAAACTATGCGATTACTTAGAATGAACTGATCTATCATGGAATGATAGGTTAATTTGTGGACGTGGGGATTCCTGGTCATACGGATAAATGAAAATATTGACAACCGGATAGACTCTGAGGCGGCACAACATCAATTGAAAATGACGAATTAGAAGATATGAAAATTAAAGAAAAAAATAATAGGTAGCGAGTTAGTTATTATAACAAATGTCAATTTTAATCGTAAGTTGCCATATCAAAGATCCTGGGTCTGTTATATTATATGGGTCTATTACACGGAATACGAACATCCACTGTATAAAACATGATTTTAAGAATGATTACATTCTTTATATTTATTACATTTGCTGTGTTAATAGCCGAGATTTTGCACCGGGTACAGGACAGGGTCTACAATAAATTTGATTGGATGTGTGAATTTGTAGAATCCGATTTATTTGAAAAAAACTATGTCCTAAATATTATTTTTTTCGACTTGTTTTGCTTATTGCTAAGGCTACCCTTTCCACATGCCCTCAATGCAACTCACTCTCGATATTAGAGTTTTTGGGGCAAACAAAAAATCTCCCTTATAGTCATATATCGAGAGATTCTTAGTTAACTTTCTTATAAAGAGATTTTTTAAATAGAAATATTTTCTTATATCAAGAGATTTCGAAATGTTACTTGTACAGGATAATTGCAAGGTACAATTAGCGATGGATATTAACCTCGATGTTTCTAATCGTTTTGGTAATGCTCAAAAACAGAGAGCAAAGGTAATGATGAGCTCAATAATATTGCTTGAAGATTTGATCGGATAGATTGTTTGTACTAAATAAACTTTCAAGTTTTTCCCTCATATCCGAAAATGAATCTTCTTGATCCATAGAGATTTTGAAAAGCTGTACTAATTCTAATAAATTTTCATAATATTGGAATGTGTTTTATTATTTATTTCTGGCTTTGTTATTCATTTTATTACATTATTGACATGTTAAATAGGTGTAAATTTATTAAGTATGCGCCAATTTGATTCAGATCAGAACGAAATGTACTGCTTGTTATCAATGTTCAATTAGGTGTAGGAGAGATATGGCTAAAGCGAACAGGAGATGAATTTCAAGACGGGTTGATATTATGTTATTTCAAAGGAGAGGGGATCCAAAAAGATATTAGTTCAGCTTTAAAATGCTGTTTGAAGCTAGTCAAACACAGATTTATACAAATTCTTGACGATAAGTATAATTAAATTGTCAGATTTGTTATTCGGGAAGGATACAAATAATTTCGTAAATTTCTTTTACATAATAGCTATAATCGTAATATTCAGATCAATCAATAAGTGTTTCAATTAAAAGATCATCTTCGACCACAAATTAGATAACATCTTTCACGCGTCGCCAAAAATAATCAACAAACGTCGAGACATATACAACATTTAGAATATTACTATTTTTTATGAATTGAATTTCATAAAATTTCGTTGTTTCTTTTGGCTGATAAACATAAAACCTTTTTTACTATATTTTCACAAAAATTTCTATTCTACATGTATATCCCAACTTCAGTTTAACTTTAATGATTTGCCTTATGTGTTCCTTTCAATATATTTTTCTTTTGCCATTGCCAATGTTACTATTTCAAAAAATCAAGGTAAATCGAGAATATGTAAAAATGAACTAATATAGTTACTGAGTTTGTAAAGCATAACAAATATGAATTTTCTTTCAAAAAACATTCACTTCACATACTAAATGTAAAGCTAAGAGTCATATTTTTTTATTAAGCCGAATTAAGAGCTCACGCGTGCGGGGAAAAAAGAGAATGAAGTTGCATTAGAGTTTATTTCGGTGTAATACTTGGCGCAAGGCTGTCTTTTAGACAATTAGACAGCGTGAGAGATAAGAATCTTAATTTGTCTAAAAATATTGTGGGACTTTAGATCAATTAGTTAAAGGTTTTGTATGCTTTAGAATTTGTATTACTTTCTTCTTTCATATTCTATTTTTTTAGACAACTTGTCTAAAACTCTCAATTTTCAAAATCTTGTCTAAAGACAGCCTTGCTTGGCGGATGTTAATTTTTTGAGATACGCTTGGCTGACGTTTTAAATTGTTGGACGGGAATTAATTCATCAGAAAGGAAATTTTGATTTATTCGTATATATGGAAATTACGTCCGATTTTCGACCTTTTATCTTTGTGGCATAATTACGTACTTCGAAAATATGATACTATCACGAAACATCAATGAAGAGATTCAATTAAAAGACATATAATGCACAACCATAAAAAAATAAACAAAAACTTCCTTTCTGACAATTGACTAAATTACGTTCAATAATTTAAAACGTCAGCCAAGCGTATCTCAAAAAATTAACATCCGCCAAGCAAGGCTGTCTTTAGACAAGTTGTCTAAAAAAATAGAATATGAAAGAAGAAAGTAATACAAATTCTAAAGCATACAAAACCTTTAACTAATTGATCTAAAGTCCCACAATATTTTTAGACAAATTAAGATTCTTATCTCTCACGCTGTCTAATTGTCTAAAAGACAGCCTTGCGCCAAGTATTACACCGAACGAAATAAAATTTTGATGCAAATCGATTCAATTTTATTCTCTTTTCCCCACACGCACGAACTTTTAATTCGAAAATGCCAAATTACACAATTTGGTATCACAAAACCAAAAATAGAGCAATATAAAAGGTTTTTTGATACAAAATTCTCGTTTTTAGTAGACAACTATTTTTATTTCGCATATACAAGTGTGATTGGTGTATAATGAGTATATATAGACGAGGGAACTTTCTGTATAGAAATGTGGAACCTTGGGAAAATTTAAATGTGTTGTAACTTATTTATGTATGCAATGCATGTGCACGATGATGAAGATAATGGTAGCGAAATTTTAATTACCTTTCCTTATATGGATTGAATGAAAACTGAATAAGCGAGGTTAATTTTTTTTACAATTGTTCATCATCAAATTAAAAAGATGCGAGATATGCAATTACAATTGCCTATTACTAATGTAAAGAGATCCTCGAGAGCAATGTGATTTTAATGGATTTTCAACTATGCATTTGATAATGACGATCTTTCGATCTATCTAAATAAAGATATTAAATTAACGGGACTTCCGCTCATCAAACACTTCTTGCCCAAAAATATCTAAATTCTAATTCACATCATTGTGTGTTTCTCAAACAGAAGCATTTCTGTAATCTATGTTCCTCAAACAGAAGCATTTGAATTAATACGGAAGATTGTTTAAATTCTCCTTATCTTTGTGAGAGGTTAATTCAGGTTCCAGTGACGATTTTTTCTTTATTCTTGTTATCTACATATTCGATAAGTTCAGACCCGAAGAACTTATATTCCATAGTGAGAAATGGCCTGATAATTGAAGACTTCGGGTCTTTTAACAAAATAAACAAACACAACGGAAGATTCTTTCCATGCATTTAATAATATTAAGTTTCATTGTTTTGTGCTGGGAAAGGAAAAGAATAAAAAAAACTTGATTGTTTTATTCTGTGATTTTTGATGTTTCGAAAATTTCTATTTGTTCAATAAAAGAGCACCCCTCGATTAAGCATGCACACAATACATTATCGATTTAATGACAAATAGTATCACCTATATGTGCATAATTGCTGCTGAAAGTATACCAATATTTTGAAATTATCCCCCTTTAGCCAAAAGTCATTTATTTATGTAAAATCGAAGAAAAGTGTTCCTAATATTGTTTACATACGTAAAAGTAGATAAAGTGTATTTTTTTTGCTTATTCATTCAAATTCTTCTTTAGCGAAACAAAGAAATCAGAAAAATGCATGCACAAAGATAAACAAAAAATCATTTTACTCGCAAAATATATAAATTACGATTGTTATTTCGAGGAGCGATGTCTGTATCTAAATGACGCCAGATTACGTGATACAAAATAACAAATTAGAGATCGAAATTCACAAATCGGAATTTTCATAGAATATTTTATTGAATATTCGAATTATTATTAATCCTTGGTTTTGTCGGAGAAATAACTTGGGAAAATCAACTAACTTCCTACTGCTATGCATTCAATATATAAGATCCAGAACATTGCGAAACTATTTTATGATTAAACAATTTCAAGAATATCAAAATATATTAATTAAGCTCAGCAAATATCAAAAATATATAATACTCAGCAAAGAAAACGAATTTATAATTTATAATTCTTCATAATAGAGGAACGCTACATTTTGCGTGTAAAATTTTCCCTCTAAACTCAACAATTAAAAAATGAGGCCTTAGTGTAATTCTTTAACACCACTTAAAAAAAATTCTATATTTAACTGCAACAAATAACGATGCATGTCATGCTCATCATTATGTCATCAATTTATTATTGGAATTTGTTCGTAAATTCTTCATGGAATCGTGACACAATACAGAGATCTGTGAATTTGCGATTATATGAAAATGAATCGCAAGAGTAAATCATATTTTCTTTTTGCTGACGAGAAAAAGCGAGTTTTTAGGAGTGGTATTTCAAAGATGTCCGTAGTCTCAATTGAATGCAGTTATTGTGCAACTAAATGGATAGGTAATATTATGAAGAAATTATCAAAGCATAATGAATCCACAAGTCGTTTAAGAAGTGCATTATCTGGTGAATTTTTTTATATACTAAAGGAAATTTCACACGTATGTAATGATTTTTTAACGAGCATAATCAATTTTTAACGAGCATAATCAATTTTTTAACGAGTATAATCAATTTTGTAAACTGCAAACTTGATTTGTGCATCAGTGAACAATTATTCGCAATAAAATATCAATTTTAACAATTTGCTTGAAAAAATCGTGGTATTCGCGTGCGTTACATAAAAAGCAAATTGTCACAAGGTAATTGATTAGAAAAAGAAAACAAAAAAACTTCAAAACGATAAAACAAGAAAAAAAGTGGGAAATAAGAAAACGTGGACACACATTGCTAAAGGATATGCGGATCGATCGAATTTTTTTCTTTTCATCCGACAAGGAATCAGAAAAAATAGGTAACGACGATGACTTTAACTAGCAAGCAACCATAGAATCCAGCAAGTTCGGCCGGCAAGTTTGAATTATATTCAAGATGAAATTCAATTGTTTCAATTGTAGCGACGAAAATTATACGGTTGACGATGGTGGATCAGCACCGGCGAGAGCTGTAAAGCGCTATTGCAAGTTTTTGTGGAATGCCAAGCTTTGGTAACAAAAAATTTCGTAAAAGTCTAAAAGAGGCGATGTATAAAAGTTTAGCTTTTTTCGATTATCAGTGTGGCTTTTATTTACTAATAGAACTACAATATGGATATATTATATATATTATATTATATTATAATATTATATAATATTATATAAAATAAATAACGTAATTTGCTTGGCCCGCGTTATAGTATCACAGGGGGTGGTGTAATGCTGTACGGATATAATACAACATGACTAAATATGTCGGTACTAACCATAAATATTAATAATCTTCAAGTTAAAAAATATATAAGAATGTGAACGGAGATCGGAGGTTAATAAAAAAAATTAACAGGCAGATTTTTGTTAATATATAATTAATATAATTAATATAATAAATATAATACGATAACGATAATAAAATTAAATCAATTATTGTCGTCATCATCAAAAAGATTTTTTCAGAGTAAATTAGAATCAAAAAATTTTGTTCTTTCAATGACATCTTACAATACATCTCCACGTTCTCCTGTTCCTCTAATAGCGGTTGATAATGTTATTGTTTCTTCACCGGGTTCGGATTATTCTGATAGAAGTAGTAATTCACCGAGAAATGAAGGAAGAAGACTTCGAGTTCATGAATTATTAGATGCTAACCCTCAAACATCATCTTCTTCGGCACCTTTTTCATTTCAGCTTCCTTCGATTTCAAGCAATGTTAATAATAATAGTCTCGATCATGATAATATGTCAATAATAGCAGCATCACTTTCATTTTCACCTCACACTTCATTACCACCAATTAATTCAACAAATCCACGATTCGTTCAACATTTACAAATTCCAGACACATCTTCACATCTCTTTGCATCCGAAGCTCTTTCTTCCCATAATCAACTATTATTATCACCGAGTACATCTTCTACTCCGAATTCTGCAATCACACCGACACAACCACCTCCTTCTCCTTTACTCTATGGTGCATCACCGACGATGTCATCTCCAGGAACTCAGGAAGATCAAAATGATCAATTATCACCATTGACATTACACGAACGTCGTGAGCGAAATAAAGTTGCTTCTGCGAAATATCGAGCAAAGAAACATAAACAAACACAAGAAATGAGTACACAGATTGCAGAATTAAATTCACGAATCAGTGCTTTAACCGCGGAAAATGGTTTGCTTTGTCGTCAAGTACAAGAATTGAAAAATGAAAATATCGACTTAAAAGGTATCGTGGATGATCTCAAAAGTCAACTTGTCGAGGATAAAATTCTGAAAAGATTGGGAAGATCTGGAGTCGCCTCAAAAAATTCTCTAAAAACAAGTACAACCGTCGCAGGAAAACGAGAAAGAGCAAGACATGGAAACAGTGGTCATGCCAAGGGAACACTGGGAAATAATAAACCATCTTCATAACTTTTGTTCTCTAATTCACGTATTAATAATGCTCATAAGAAAAAAACATTAAAATTTTCTTTAAAACATTTTTTATGATAAACATAACTCTCTTCAAACTAAAATGCTACTTTCCTCTTTAAAGTATGATATTTTAATACTACGCATTGAATCCTCCCCCTTCAACAAAAACCATGTAATTAATTGTACAGAAAATTTTATAGAATTATTTTTTATTTTTTATTTTCCTTTAAGATTCCTCTTAGATTTTCACATTATTAAGCTTTTGTATGAAGAGAGTAAGTATAAAATAATTTTCATTTTTATGCAAAAAAAAATAAAATAATTTACCATTTTGATTATTAAGCCCACGAATTGTTCGATTGCACCATACACACATCTTCATACGTTATTTATTATGATATTAGTCTATATTTATGGCGTCATATGAGAACAATACACGACACTCTATAATATACATTATATTTTATATTTGATGAATAGATATAGATTTAGATTAAAGTGGAACCAATCATAATTCATCGTTATCATTAAACTTTGTTTTCGTTGTCAAACAAAAAAAAATAAAAAACCTTTGTCCACTGTGTGAAAGTTTTTAATAAAACGGAAAAATAGCGCGGGGATTATTTTGAGATGTGTAATAATGACGCCGAGCAAGAAACACGATTTTACCCGTTAAGAATTAAACATACATCTATATTATATATGGCGTCATATGAGAAATTCACTTCTAAAAGTAGCCTAGCATATATAGCTTCATATGTTGTAATAAATCGCGTGTAATGACGTTTTTTGGTCTCCAAAATACAGAAAATGGTTATGACTTGCATAACATAATGAATGATATTCTAAAAATAGAATTACACTTTATATCGAAAGTTTAAATATTAAGAACGTCATACTGGCTTCTGGCGCAGTATATAATCACATGAAAACACATATTTTAATGATAATTATTTCTAAATTCAGAATGGCTGAGAAAGATTTAAAATTTAGAATGTTCATAAAAAAAATTCTAGAATAAATGTATTGTAACAACTGTTATTTGTAACAACCACATTTTAATTGGCTAATTAGAACCTGAGTTAGGGTTAGGATTAAGATTCTGGATATGTGATTGGTTAATATTGAAGTTGTTACATGACGATTAGATTTTTAATATAATAAATTAGTAGAGTATACTCCTACATTGTGGAATTTTCTATATAGATTTTTTGTATCACGTTCAATGTCTTATTAATTTTTGTCGGGTTATTTTAATTTTGGCCGGATTTATAAGACCCATTTTATAGAAAGTGCCATAATTGAGAAAAAGCAAACCAATACGAGTATTTCTAACCAATTTTTTTAAACTTCTAATGTTGAGATTTTAATTGTTAGTATACACTGCAATAATCATTATAAGTTAGGTAGCATTATAATTAATAAATTTGATCGACATTGAACAAGAATCGGGCGAGTCGAGTAAATTTTCTTGAAAGACGCGCGTTTGCTGTCCTGTCGGAAGCGAGTAGGGCTCCGAACGATTCGGTAAAAAACCGTTACCGATCGGTCAGTAAACCAATCGGTTCGGTAAATTTCGGTAATTATTCGAAATAATTACCGACGGTTTACCGAAATGTTGATCAATGAATCAATACACTGATTAATCATTGATTAATCAAGGTTTGAAAGACTTCTGAATTTGCCAAAATATTATTTGTGAAATTTGAAGTAAACTGTCAAGTTTCAACACACTAAATGCTAATAATTAAAAATATATAAAATTTTGCACATTGCTTCACGAGATGTTATACGAAACGTAAATAAATTGCTACCACGCATTTAAGCGATTTATTTGCGTTTCGGATAATATCTCGTGAAGCAATGTGCAAAATTTATATATACGTAGAATAGAACATAGCAAATATTTTTAATTATTAGCAGCTAGTGTGTTAAAACTTTACATTATGGTCGATTTTACGTTCAAATTTCACGAATTAAATTTTATACATGTATTGATATCACCATTACCGAAATTACCGAATTACCGTCGGTAATTAGAAGATGTCGGTAATTACCGAACCATTACCGAAAATCTCGGTTCGGTAAATTTCGGAGCCCTAGAAGTGAGTCATCAAGAGGATGAGTGAAAGAACAATCCACTTCAGTGATTGCTTTGTTTAATCGAAAATTGTTTCTATCCTTTTTATAAATATACTAGAATTCTCAATCTAGCTCTGAAGCACGCGGTATCTCCGATCGCCACGGACTTTAAGTGATAGCTAACATTATTCACGCTTTATAGATTTCCATTCAGAAGACAAATTCGAGTTTACTCAATTCATTAGTGGAAAACCAGATCCGTCATGTACCTTTTATACGATTTGGGGTGCTTACAGTATTAAGATTTAGAATAAATCTCTGCTACATAGTATACTACCATCGAAAGACAAAACTGTAAGCAATGCAAACCACGATAGGGAAGGCAGCGATGACAGTAACAAGCAGTAGCACGTATTGTCATCAGTCTTTGACAAAAGTTGAAGTCTAACACCATAATTTTACCTGATTATAGCTTCGTTATTTTTCAAAGGGGAAAATAAACTGGAGACTGAGATGGGGCAAAACATGAAAGAGCAACGGCACAAAGGACATTAGACCTGCAAGACGATGATAAAAAATGTAAGGAACCCAGGGTAAGTTTCTCATTTGTATTCGTAAATTCTAGGACGGATGGCCATTCACGAAGCGTGAAGAAACGGCAACAAATCAAAAAGTTTCAGCAAATGGATTGGATTAGTAGAACTAGTATAAATGTTTGTCCATAAATGTTTTAGTTCCGTTTTTGGTAGAAACATTAAATGTGGGTAGATAGGATAGTAAAGAATCATTTTTAAAGAATTATGTTCTCAACATCTCCCTTCACTAATTTAATACACGTATCGGCAATGGACAGATGCTGTTGATGTGAAGACATTACGGGAATGATGATAAAGATAATCAAAAAAATATTCGATAATTTGTATTGTCCTTGTATCAGGATTTTCGGTAGTTGACAAACCTCTATCACTCATCCAGGATTTCTTTGACCCTCAGTCCACAAGCATTTGTCCTAGAACATGTGAACCCTTTCCTAAATCTGAAAGCATTGGAACAGATTCGAACGACCATGTTTAAAAGCAGCTCTCTGGCATTATGCCAATGTATATTATGAAATGCTAATTTTGTAACATTTGGAGAAGAACGTTTAAGTAGAGTGGACAATAATATTTAGTCTCGCCGTCCTACCGAGTGGAAAAAACACAAAATGCGTACATGCTTAAGTCATTTTCGAACGAGTCTGTCGAACTAAATAGTAATAATGACGAGGTCCTATCAATCCATCATGTGAAAAGGACTAACAATTGACACAACGCGTATGAAATTGTTAACGTGGAAGAAAGTCGCCCTACCAAAGTCAAGCTCAGCAAAGGAATCAGATGATCGGGTCAAGGTCGCTCAATTTGAAGATGTTTTTTTAGAAACAGGATCGCGAAACGGAAAGAAGTTGTATCGAGTGAGCCAGACATCTGTTCGCCCTCATTTTACTAGTAGGTAACTTTGATTATCATACGAATTGTTGTATTATGATGAATAGGCCAATGGATATTGATAATACAGTTGTTCCTCGAGACTTTACTGAGTCCAAGAGTTTATAAGGCCCATAAAATGTGCAGTAAGTGTTTCACTTGCGTATTGCAGTCAAATTCTTAAATAATTATATTTTTTGTCCATAGCTCTCAGCGAGGAAAGAAAATTCTCTTAGATACTAGTTCAAAAAAAGTTGTGTTTTGTGGAATGATATGAAAAATATGGCGAAAGAAATTATTGTCTTTGTAATTTGCAACTCGAGTGATATTAATAAACATCTGAGCATCAAGTATATTATTTAAGAGATAAGAGATTTATTTTAAAATAAGTATGATTTAAAGATTTATTTGTTATAAGATTTAAGAATTCAAATAATTTCATTAACAGTTATATTATAAAAATCGTTAATTCCATAATTTGTAACAAATTATAAAATTATAAAAATCATGCAGAGTTTAGAATATTTCTTTAATTATTAAATATTTCTATTTTTTTATACTCTATTTTTCTATTTCTCTTTATACTCTGTTTTATCATATTTATATTTTTTTATTTATCTATTTGTCTATTTGTCTATTTGTCTATTTTCTATTTTCTATTTTTTATTCTTTTATTTATTTGTCTATTTTTCTATTTTTCTACTTTTATATTTATTTAATTTGATAAATATATCTTAATTCAAAAGTACATAGTTATTTATTTGTTTTTTTTATTTTCCTTCTTTCTATATTTAATAAATTAAAATTCTATTTTTAATTAGCATATTTATCTTTTATATTTTTTTCTTGTTTTAATATTATATTAATATTTATAAAAATATATAAATACAAGTTGTAATTGAATCTTAATTCAAAATGTTGAAACTTGAAAATAAATAATATAATAAATAAATATCTTTTAATATTTAAATATTTTATTTTTCTCTCTCAACTAAAGATGAGTTTCTAAATTACTCAGAAGAAATATAACTATAATTTAAATTAGTTTTAATTATGTCTCTAAATTAATTTTAGTTATATTCTTAAATTATATTATCAGTTTTAGGATTCATCTTTATTCTTAACTATCTATTTTGAAGCTTGTATACAAATAATAACTTTGAATTATATTAAGCTAAAATATTATTATTGAAATTACTGAATTAATATTGATTAGTTTTTAATATTTTTGTTAAAATTAAATTATTTAAAATTTCTTAACTAAAGATATTATAATTTTTTTTATAAGAAAAACAAAGTAAAAAAATCTTTATTAATATTTTAATCAATAATTTAGTTAATATATAAATTAAAATATTATTTATTTTATTCACATTTTTATATTTATTTTCTCTTTTAAATTATATAATTTTAGTAAAAATTGATATAAAACTTAAATATATTTTTCTTAATATTTAATTTATTTAATTTTTTCTTTTAATTTAGATTTAAATTTGCTAGTTAATTTAATAATTAGTGAACAAATTTATAATATTATATTTTTTTATTATTATTATTTTATATTATATTCAATGAATAAAAGTTTATAATTAGAAATTAATTTTATTAATAAAATATAGTAAAATTGAAATTTTCTTTTTATATTAAATTTATAACTTTATTAAGAAATAATTTTTGTTTTTATATTAAAATAAAATTTATAAATTATAGTTTAATATATATTTTTTTCAGATTTATTAGATTTTTTCTGAAGAAATTGTTCTAATAACAAATTTATTGCAAAAATTTTTTCTAATTAAATTTTATTTTTAATTAAAAAAATTTTTGTAATAACTTTATTATTAAAATAACTTCAGAAAAAATCTAAAAAAAATACATATAATAAATAATAAAATTAATAAAAATTCAAATCACATCTATTTATAGTCACATCTGTTTATAGTGTTACCATTTTTACAAAAAAATTTATAATTACTTAATTATTGATCAACAAAAATTAAGATATATTACAAAGAACATTAAATATTATATTATGTAACTCAATGATAATCAAATTAATTTGCCTCTTTATTTTTATATTGTATCCTATTACACAATTATATTTAGTATATATCATTACCTTTTTGATATTTAAATTGTAATATCTAAATTTTTGTACACTTTTTGTTTTATTTCTTTTACTATTACACTAAAATTGTTTATTCTTGTATTTTTTACTATAAAACTTATATTTTTATTATTGATTTATCTCATCTATACCTTTATTACGTTTATTTTTATCTTTTTATTTCATTATTTTTAACCAATCATTCTTATATTTATTTTATTTTATTTTTCATTCTTGTTACAATTATTCTTTTTATTTTTTAATTTTTTTGTTATTATTATTATTAATTATATTTATAATATTATTTTCTTTCTATACAACACCTCTTTTTACTCAAGC